TATGGTTGCCTCTGTTAACTCACAGCACAAAAGCCTGCAGCAGTAGTTTCAATGAGCCTACATGTTCAAATAAATTCCATATAAATTATAAGATAAATGTCAACAAAGTTGTTCACGTTTTTCTTTCCTGCACTTTGCTGCACAGTGAATATAACATTGATGAAAAGGTTTTTGTTAACCCCATTCTTCACCCATGACAGATTTATGAGCTTGAGAGTCTCATTGAGAGATGCAGTGTCGTGGGAAGACAGTGATAGGAGTAAGAATCTACATACTGTCAGTGGGAGCTGCACTTTGGGCAGATCTTTATGTATATATACATATCTGTGGGTTGATTCATCCTAGCAATCATGTAACAGAGTGAGGGAAATTACACAGGAATGGAGTTTTCTACCGAGGTTTGGGGGCTGAATGTGGAGATGTATGATGTTCAGTGTCAGTGGAAGGCCTTGCATCATGGAGATTTGTGTTGCACATCCATGATATGTCATCCGTTACATGGAAATCTCCTGAGTTGTTCCATGCAGAGAGAGACTATCTCTGCGTGTTCTACTTTGTCCTGACATGCATTATGGGAATACAAATCAGAATGTCCTTGAAAGGACAATTGTGCCACATGAGATCAGTATGTCCTTGAAAGAGCAATTGTGGCCTCATGGGATATGTAGGTCCTTGAAAGGGCAATTGTGGCCTCATGGGATCTGTATGTCCTTGAAAGGACAATTATGGCCATGTGGGATCAGTACGTCCTTGAAAGGCCAATTGTGTCCATGTGGGATCAGTACGTCCTTTAAAAGGCCAATTGTGACCATGTGGGATCAGTACGTCCTAGAAAGGCCAATTGTGCTTTGGGGGATCTGTATGTCCTTGAAAAGCAATTTTGGCCTTGTGGGATCTGTATGTCCTTGAAAGGACAATTGTGCTTTGTGGGATCAGTATGTCCTTGAAAGGCCAATTGTGGCCATGTGGGATCAGTATGTCCTTGAAAGGACAATTGTGCCATGTGGGATCTGTATGTCCTTGAAAGAGCAATTGTGGCCTTGTGGGATCTGTATGTCCTTGAAAGGCCAATTGTGGCCATGTGGGATCAGCAGGTCCTTGAAAGGCCAATTGTGACCATGTGGGATCAGTATGTCCTTGAAAGAGCAATTGTGTCCATGTAGGATCAGTATGTCCTTGAAAGGACAATTGTGACCATGTGGGATCAGTATGTCCTTGAAAGGCCAATTGTGACCATGTGGGATCAGTATGTCCTTGAAAGAGCAATTGTGTCCATGTAGGATCAGTATGTCCTTGAAAGGACAATTGTGCCACATGAGATCAGTATGTCCTTGAAAGGCCAATTATGGCCATATGGGATCATCATGTCCTTGAAAGGACAATTGTGTCCATGTAGGATACTGTGTGCAAAACTAAATATCCACTGAATGCATGGTTCACAAACCAACCTTCCATGTTGCAAGTGCCTTGAGATCTGTAAAGTGATGTTTTCTGGGATTGTTTGGTCCTCTTTAGCAACTCTGTGTGGACACTTTGAATGTGAATGTTCCTTATCCCAATATCCTATTCAAGAAATATGCATTGAAAATCTCAAAGAAGAGTTGCCTGAGCTTTTCTCCTACATGTTCCAATCATTATCTCAGAATCTGCAGTTTAAGTCCCACCTTCCCTACAGAGAGATGTCCCGACTGTACTTTAGTCTCCCAATATAAATGTTGAGGGTCATTGGTAGCTGGCTTTGTTGTCTAGCTGCAGTAATTGGGTGATCAGAGTTATGTGATAAAGTGTTGGGATCTTTTGAGGGTTCAAATTCAATCTTCACCATCATCATGAACCTTGGTTTGTCTCCATGCCTGTGCTTTCAGCAAAGGAGTACCGTATATACTATTAAAAAAAAGTTCAGGACCACTCGATTCTTTCACTGTAATGGGGGTGGAGTAGCCTAGTGGTTAAAGCATTCGCTCGTCACGTCGAAGACCCGGGTTTGATTCCCCACAGGGGTACAATGTGTGAAGCCCATTTCTGGTGTCCCCCGCTATGATATTGCTGGAATATTGCAAAAAGTGCCGTAAAACTATACTCACTCACTCACTCATATCACTATAGTTAATCTGTTAAATTCTTTTTGTTTGTCATGACAGATTACCTATAGTAATATGATAGAATCGGGTGGTTATAGTAATATGATAGAATCGGGTGGTTAAAGTAATATGATAGAATCGGGTAGTTATAGTAACATGATAGAATCGGGTGGTTATAGTAACATGATAGAATCAGGTGGTTATAGTAATATGATAGAATCGGGTGGTTATAGTAATATGATAGAATCGGGTGGTTATAGTAATATGATAGAATCGGGTGGTTATAGTAATATGATAGAATCGGGTGGTTATAGTAATACATGTATGATGGAATCGGGTGGTTATAGTAATATGATGGAATCGGGTGGTTATAGAAATACATGTATGATGGAATCGGGTGGTTATAGTAATATGATGGAATCGGGTGGTTATAGTAACATGATGGAATCGGTGGTTATAGTAATATGATGGAATCGGTTGGTTATAGTAATATGATGGAATCGGGTGGTTATAGTAATATGATGGAATCGGGTGGTTATAGTAATATGATGGAATCGGGTGGTTATAGTAACATGATGGAATCGGGTGGTTATAGTAACATGATAGAATCAGGTGGTTATAGTAATATGATGGAATCGGGTGGTTATAGTAATATGATAGAATCGGTTGGTTATAGTTATATGATAGAATCGGGTGGTTATAGTAATATGATAGAATCGGGTGGTTATAGTAACATGATAGAATCGGGTGGTTATAGTAATATGATAGAATCGGGTGGTTATAGTAATATGATAGAATCGGGTGGTTATAGTAATATGATAGAATCGGGTGGTTATAGTAATACATGTATGATAGAATCGGGTAGTTATAGTAACATGATAGAATCGGGTGGTTGTAGTAATATGATAGAATCGGGTGGTTATAGTAATATGATGGAATCGGGTGGTTATAGTAACATGATGGAATCGGGTGGTTATAGTAACATGATGGAATCGGGTGGTTATAGTAACATGATGGAATCGGTGGTTATAGTAACATGATGGAATCGGGTGGTTATAGTAACACGATGGAATCGGGTGGTTATAGTAACATGATAGAATCTGGTGGTTATAGTAATATGATAGAATCGGGTGGTTATAGTAATATGATGGAATCGGGTGGTTATAGTAATATGATAGAATCAGGTGGTTATAGTAATATGATAGAATCGGGTGGTTATAGTAATATGATAGAATCGGGTGGTTATAGTAATATGATGGAATCTGGTGGTTATAGTAATATGATAGAATCGGTGGTTATAGTAATATGATGGAATCGGGTGGTTATAGTAATATGATAGAATCGGGTGGTTATAGTAATATGATAGAATCTGGTGGTTATAGTAATATGATAGAATCGGGTGGTTATAGTAATATGATAGAATCGGGTGGTTTATACTTTTTTAGTGTAGTATATGTGACTTACGTCACTATGGGCTTTTTGCTAAACTTCCACACCATGGTATAATGGAAATACTGATCAATGCTGTATAACCCAACTACCCGAGCAATAATTCACACTATCCATGGGTCTGAGGAGAATGTTTTATGTATTTACTTTCACGTTGTGTCGATTCAATGGACTGAGAACCAGAACACAGTGAATGAATGTCGGAGCACCATTCTTTGTCATTCAGGAAGATCACGACATTGCAATTTCAAGAATAGATCGAAATTGTTTCTCTTAAGATTTTTTCTCCATGAAATATTTTTTACCAAGGCATTGAGCATGCACGTCCATAGAAGTCAGACCCTGTCAGACAATTGGTTATTTTCGAGAGGGATCAATAGCTTGATATTGCCATGTACAGAGATCAGGTCTGGGCAGTACACTTGCGTTTTTTACATGTCAGTCAGTAAAAGTGAAGGTAATAGTTAGAGTGGCTGTAATTTCTCCCTCTTACTCCTGCTATGATAGTCTGCAGTAAACATGTTACCTACTTCGGTCATTATGGAGTCCAGCCCTTGTTCCTGGGACTCTTAAATCAATCTCTCATGCGAGCCCGTTGGCATCATTTTATAGTCACGTTTTTCGAAAAAACGATTCTCAAATGGATGAGCTTATTTTATAGAAAACCTTTTAAACAAATGGATGGGAAAAGTTTAAATTCAAATTGCAAATTATTTATGAAATGGCTAAATCATTTGTCGAGTCATCTCGACTATTTGAATATATGACTACATTGTGATGATGGCTTGTTTAGAGATTGTCATTTTGTCATCTTTACCTCGGGTTGGTTCTATGACAAGAGGACATGTGATAATACCATTTTTTGTTTGATCAAATTTTATGCTTTTTATTGATATAAAAAATGTAGTTTACAATCAGGGCATATAGAAATTCTCTTAAAAGGGTTTATCAATGAACCTTGAAGAGCATTTGGTCAGCCATCAGTTGCCAAACAAGTAACAGTCTACAAGTCTCATCTGAACAAACTTTACTGTCCTAATATAATGTGACATCAGTTCCCAAGCTCAGGAAGCATTCTGTACTGTACTTGATTTGGCTTGACCGAATTCAGCAGGTGTAAATAAGTCAGCTACCACCGTGTGAGTGAGCAGGTATCGTTTTACACTGCTTGTAGCAATATTCCTGCAATATAACAGTAGGGGGACACCAGCTTCACACGTATCCATGTTAGGAGGACGGTCGGGTAGCCTTGTGGTTAAAGCGTTGGCTTGTCACACCTAAGACCCGGGTTCGATTACCGACATTGGTACAATGTGTGAAGCCCATTTCTGGTGTCCCCCGTCGTGATATTGCTGGAATATTGCTAAAAGCAGCATAAAACCAAACTCACTCACTCACTCAATCCATGTTAGGGATTGAACCCGGGTCTTCAGTGTGACGAGCAATTGCTTTAACAACTGGACTACCCTACACCCTTACCGATGATGCCAATGAAACTGATGACATTACCGTATTCCCTGTATTATAAGCTCTCCAGTGAGATCCAACTCCTGACCATTCTGTAAGTAATCTCTATGGGAGCCTGGTACTAAGTCTGAATATTTACAGTGATAATCCAAACATTCTTGCATGTTACACATCCTTTTACAGTAAACATAGCAGTGTAGAAAGGGTATGTAACTGTATGATACTATTATCGAAAACATTTCATGAACATTTGAACAAATTCTCTTCTCTTCCGCTCGATCCCTGAAAACAAATTTAACTTGTGTATGGTTTTAATAAGCTCACACCTTTGAGCCAATGAGCCTTGGGCACACATTAATTTGTTCTTTGCGATAATGAATAGATCTGACCTTATCATCCAAACTTGCATCTAATGTTGAAAGCTAATGAGAAAGTTAGATGGCTTGAGCCCTGGGCAGATAGTAAAAATTGAAATTAAATTAGAAAATATTACTTTACCTTTTGTAACGATCAGTTCTTGACCTTTGTGCCATGTGCTACATTCATCACAGTTTGAAATCCCTTGAACACGCAGTGGGGTTGTATTCACTGAGATTTAAATTCATCATTATGGATGTTTGTGCAGGGAATTCATGTTTGCAATACTAATGCAATAGTCCCAACTACACACACTACCTTGCGGACTTCTGTGAATGACAAATATAGTTATAGAAACCTGTGAAATTGTGTTGATGTGAAGTTGAATTATTGATAGTTGACATCAATAGATGCTTGACAATCAATAGTTTTGATAAAAGGAATGAGATAAAAATATTGAATAATTCCCACCCCTAGTTGATACTTGTACAATTGACTTCGAACATGTTCATAAGTTTACATCGACACAAGACTACAGTAAGAGCTAAATCACACCTATCACTATTACAACTGTCAGGATTATCCCAATAGTCACCACTATCACTGTAGTGACATTATTTGCCTCCCAACATGCTGATTTTGAAGGACATACGCCATAGTTTATTTTCATTTGATGTCAAGTCTATCATGTTTGGAAGTTGATCTTGATTGTGTAAGGTAAATGTGTTCTGAATAGATAAAAACAAATGTGTCTCTTCAATTCAATATTATTATTTAATGAAAAGGAAGGTGAAACTCCGAACAGATTTTGTTAATATCAATATTGTTTCATCTTGATACATTTCTCAAATATATTGCTAGTCTGTCAGGATATCAATTATAACATGTGAGAACATTGATTGTCATGTCTGTAATCGCCAATACCCCTATTGCAGGAGAGTGTCATCCTGCCTAGTGCCACCCCCGACGGCTACACGAGCCAGATGTATGTGTCCCTTGCCTGGACCTTCAGCCGGAGCGAGACCACTGCTGGTGTCTGGCTGGAGAGCGTCTCTACCAACATTGCCAGATCCAAGATGGTGCCGCTGAACGTCACCAACATGGCCGCTGCCCTCTTCGTTGTCTCATCCTCCAAGAAGCTGTCTGAACAGGCTCTGGCAACAATGGTGGAGATTGCCAAGCATGATTACTCACAGGTAGACATGTTGTACAGTGTACTGGTACAGAAAGGTCACCATCCACAATGCCTTACATGATTCAACTAACATAAGGATTATGTGTTACTATTTGTTTGTTTGTTTATTTTTTAACGCCACACGCAATATTCCAACTATATGACAGCAGTCTGTAAGTAATCAAGTCTGGACCAGACAATCCAGTGATTGACATCATGAGTGTCGATCTACGTAATTGAGATACAATGACATGCATTGACCAAGTCAGCGAGTCTGACCACCTGATCCCGTTAGTCGTCTCTTACGACAAGCGTAGTTGCCTATGTGTCACAATAGTCTGATGGTGCAGATCATTGATCATGCGTTCAAGCACTGCTTTGTCAGACCATAGTAGGTTATTTACAGGTCACTGTGATACAGCTGCAATATACAACAGCATTCACACACTCACTAAACAACATTTGTATTTGAAGTTCATTAACATTTTCTTGTTTGGCATAGGAAAGTTTAAAAAGAAGATTTATCTCACAATGTTCCATATAAAAGAAAAAATGTAGAATCTTACTCTAGTGTCTTTTGATATCAAATATATCAACACGAATCAATAAAAGTTTAAAACTCTTGAGGTTTGCCTGTTATGGAGTTAAATTTTATTGAGGAGTGTTGATTTGGGTTAATGATCTCATTTGACTGTAATGTCATGGTAACAGATGACATCACAATGGTCTGCAGAGTATTTTGATACAATTTCATTGAAACGATATCTCGGATGATTTCACCCAAGTGATATCTCCTCCTGTGGAAGCGAGTTTTGGATGCTAAATACCTTTATACAGGACTGAGTAGTGGACTGTTGGGCTGCAGTAGTGGTTACAGTGGTGACGCCAATCTATGACTGGTTCTGCACATAAAAAGCATTATTGCTGCCCCCTGCTTGAATATTGCTAAAGTGGCATAAGATCTCCTTCATTCAATGGATTGGACATTCTTTTCCATCTTTAACTGAATCATGTGAGAAAGCTTAATTTATTGTTAGGTTCTGATGTTAGTCTGAACCAGTAGAAGCAACCACACACACACACACACACACATGCATGCACGTTGCTATATAAGTGTAATAATCTTGGACACAACGTTAAACCTCATTTCACCACCACCTCATTCTGTTTAAATCAACAGGCTCCAGGTCTACTTCCCCTCCTGCTGTACCGGCTGGGCCGGGAGCCTGACCCCGAGATGAAGCTGACCATCTTGGAGGCCATACCCCAACTGGCCACACACAAGGTAGGATGCTACTGGCCACACACAAGGTAGTAGACTACTGGCCACACAAGGTAGGAGGCCACACACAAGGTAGGAGGCTACTGGCCACACACAAGGTAGGAGGCTACTCCCCATACACAAGGTAGGAGGCTACTGACAACACACAAGGTAGGAGGCTACTGGCCACACACAAGGTAGGAGGCCACTCACCACACACAAGGTAGGAGGCTACTGGCCACACACAAGGTAGGAGGCTACTGACCACACACAGGTAGGAGGCTACTGGCCACGCAAGGTAGGATGCTACTGGCCACACACAAGGTAGGAGGCTACTGACCACACAAGGTAGGAGGCTACTGGCTATGCAAGGTAGGATGCTACTGACCACACACAATGTAGGAGGCTACTGACCACACACAAGATAGGAGGCTACTGGCCACACACAAGGTAGGAGGCTACTGACCACACACAGGTAGGAGGCTACTGGCCATGCAAGGTAGGAGGCTACTCACCACACACAAGGTAGGAGGCTACTCACCACACACAAGGTAGGAGGCCACACACAAGGTAGGAGGCTACTGACCACACACAAGGTTGGAGGCTACTGGCCATGCAAGGTAGGAGGCTACTGACCACACACAAGGTAGGAGGCTACTGACCACACACAGGTAGGAGGCTACAGGCCACACACAAGGTAGGAGGCCACACACAAGGTAGGAGGCTACTGACAACACACAAGGTAGGAGGCTACTGACCACACACAAGGTAGGAGGCCTCACACAAGGTAGGAGGCTACTGACCACACACAAGGTAGGAGGCTACTGACCACACACAAGGTAGGAGGCCTCACACAAGGTAGGAGGCTACTGACCATACACAAGGTAGGAGGCTACTGGACACACACAAGGTAGGAGGCTACTGACCACACACAAGGTAGGAGGCTACTGACCATACACAAGGTAGGAGGCTACTGGACACACACAAGGTAGGAGGCTACTGACCACACACAAGGTTGGAGGCTACTGACCACACACAAGGTAGGAGGCTACTCGACACACACAAGGTAGGAGGCTACTGACCACACACAAGGTAGGAGGCCTCACACAAGGTAGGAGGCTACTGGACACACACATGGTAGGAGACTACTGACCACACACAGGTAGGAGGCTACTGACCACACACAAGGTAGGAGGCTACTGGCCACACAAGGTAGGATGCTACTGACCACACACAAGGTAGGAGGCTACTGACCACACACAGGTAGGAGGCTACTGGCCACGCAAGGTAGGATGCTACTGGCAACACACAAGGTAGGAGGCTACTGGCCACACAAGGTAGGAGGCCACACACAAGGTACGAGGCTACTGACAACGCACAAGGTAGGAGGCTACTGACAACACACAAGGTAGGAGGCTACTGACCACACACAAGGTAGGAGGCTACTGGCCACAAACAAGGTAGGAGGCTACTGACCACACACAAGGTAGGATGCTACTGGCCACACACAAGGTAGGAGGCTACTCACCACACACAGGTAGGAGGCTACTGGCCACGCAAGGTAGGAGGCTACTGGCCACACAAGGTAGGAGGACACACACAAGGTAGGAGGCTACTGACCACACACAGGTAGGAGGTTACTGGCCAAGCAAGGTAGGATGCTACTGGCCACACACAAGGTAGGAGACTACTGGCCACGCAAGGTAGGATGCTACTGGCCACACACAAGGTAGGAGGCTACTGGCCACACAAGGTAGGATGCTACTGGCCACACACAAGGTAGGAGGCTACTGGCCACACAAGGTAGGAGGCCACACAAAAGGTAGGAGGCTACTGACCACACACAAGGTAGGAGGCCTCACACAAGGTAGGAGGCTACTGACCATACACAAGGTAGGAGGCTACCGGACACACACACAAGGTTGGAGGCTACTGGACACACACAAGGTAGGAGACTACTGACTACACACAAGGTAGGAGGCTACTGGCCACCCAAGGTAGGATGCTACTGACCACACACAAGGTAGGAGGCTACTGACCACACACAGGTAGGAGGCTACTGGCCACGCAAGGTAGGGTGCTACTGGCCACACACAAGGTAGGAGGCTACTGGCCACAAAAGGTAGGAGGCCACACACAAGGTACGAGGCTACTGACAACACACAAGGCAGGATGCCACTGGCCACACACAAGGTAGGAGGCTACTGGCCACACAAGGTAGGAGGCCACACACAAGGTAGGAGGCTACTGACCACACACAGGTAGGAGGCTACTGGCCACGCAAGGTAGGATGCTACTGGCCACACACAAGGTAGGAGGCTACTTGCCACACAAGGTAGGAGACTCCTGACCACACACAAGGCAGGAGGCTACTGACCACACACAAGGTAGGATGCTACTGGCCAAACACAAGGTAGGAGGCTACGGACCACACACAAGGTAGGATGCTACTGACCACACACAAGGTAGGAGGCCACACACAAGGTAGGATGCTACTGACCACACACAAGGTTGGAGGCTACTGGCCACACACAAGGTAGGAGGCTACGGACCACACACAACGTAGGAGGCTACTGGCCACACACAAGGTAGGAGGCTATTGACCACACACAAGGAAGGAGGCTACTGGCCACACACAAGGTAGGAGGCCACACACAAGGTAGGAGGCTACTGACAACACACAAGGTAGGAGGCTACTGACCACACACAAGGTAGGAGGCCTCACACAAGGTAGGAGGCTACTGACCATACACAAGGTAGGAGGCTACTGGCCACACACAAGGTAGGAGGCTACTGGCCGCACACAAGGTAGGAGGCCACACACAAGGTAGGAGGCTACTGACAACACACAAGGTAGGCGGCTACTTGCCACACACATGGTAGGAGGCTACTGACCACACACAAGGTAGGAGGCTACTGGCCACAAACAAGGTAGGAGGCTACTGACCACACACAGGTAGGAGGCTACTGACCACACACAAGGTAGGGGGCTACTGACCACACACAAGGTAGGGGGCTACAGGCCACACACAAGGTAGGGGGCTACTGACAACACCCAAGTTAGGAGGCTGTATCCAGACTGGCCACACAATGTTGGTAATGAACAGTTGTTTCTGATATAATATTCTCAACATTTTTGTTTTCCCTCTGCATTGGTGCTAAGACATCCAACATCACATGCAGTGTTCATCTGCTTCCAGTTCTGCATTGCTCCTATCCTGAAGACAATCCAGCTGATGTCAAACTCTCCTAGACTTCGAGCTATATCCATCAGACTGATGACTTCGCTTTGGAAACTTCAAGACCGCACCTTCCCACAGCTCCTGCACCTGCTCACAGACATCTCCCCTGGACGAATTGTTCCAGGGGGCATTGACGAGGTCACTCTCGCCAAAGCTGCAGCCATTCGAGACATCTGTCAGCTGAGGTAAGGGAGGACTTAGAGGATGGCTAGTCATTCAAGGGTTGCTGTTATTATTATTAATCACTCTCTTTCATATCTAGTCTTACTGATGAAGACATTATAGGTTTTTTTTAGGAATTAGTTCTTGCTTAAAGAGATATCCAAGTGAAAATACCCACTTTGGTTGGTATTATTTAAAGAAATGTCCTCCTTCCATCACATCATTATGCAGGGTGAGTTTACTTCCATGTTTCAGACCTGGGCAGCATGGGTCGGACCTCCTGTCTCCCATCTCGGACATCCTCAACAGCCACAGTGGGGAGGAGGGCAGCGCCGCTTGTGCCCTGGTCCTGGAGGGTCTGGCTAGTCTCTGTGAGGCAGAGGTCGGTACAATCCAGCAGCCTAGTCAATAAGATGTCACAGCTTTAGGTTGAAGTCATACTTCTCAACATACGCTGCAATCCCAGTCTTACAGCTGCCTTATATGACAGACAATATCCGACACAGTTGATGTCCAGGGCACCTGTGTATGTTTCTAGGTGTCAGCATATATGTACCCGTGCTCGTGGGTTTCACCAAAGTGGTAAACATCTGAGACCTGCATAACATCAGATGTACCTCCCACATTAAGCTGACATCCCAGGATATAACTGTAACACTTTTCAAAGCGACATTAAACCCAACTCACTCACTCACACACTCCAGGGCACTCCCAGTAGCAGCATGTTCCTGAATGTAGCTCTGTGACTTCTTTGTACCCGAGTTTACAGCTTTCGGTAAAACATGGTTAAGCTAAACATAAAAAATGCAAGGAAAATGCAAGTATCCCTCCCCCCTAAAAAATCAAACAAACAAAAACAACAAAAAACAAGAAACACCGCCCGCCTACACTATATTTTCAAAAGCCATTGCCTGAGAACCCATTCTTTGATTTTTTTAAGCCAAAGAGTCGACTTTATGGATCAGATCATTGCTCATGATATCAATCGCTGGTTTGAAACTATTGTTTACAGGCCAGCACCATGTTGCAGAAATATTGCCGTAATTAAACAAGACGTGAACATGCAAACAAAATATGACAGTCCTACTTTAACAACATTGTTATGTAGGGCACCACAATAACAGTGGGATTGATGTTATAGATGCTGAATCCACTGGTTTAAGAATTCTGCAAAGCTATGCGAAGACTGCAGGACTTCGCACTATGCATTGTTTGTAGGGATGTTGTTGTGAAGTCTGGCTTTTCTACCTTGTTGCACTGTAGGACTGAAGCCTTGTCATCATTGCAGGTCATCAACATCCAGTCAGCCTGGGCCGTCCTGGCAGACAAGTTGACCCAGGATTGTAGGTAGGTGTCACCTGTATGTTGACCCAGGATTGTAGGTAGGTGTCGCCTCTGTAGTGACCCAGGATTGTAGGTAGATGTCACCTGTGTGTTGACCCAGGATTGTAGGTAGGTGCCGCCTGTATGTTGACCCAGGATTGTAGGTAGATGTCACCTGTGTGTTGACCCAGGATTGTAGGTAGATGTCACCTGTATGTTGACCCAGGATTGTAGGTAGGTGTCGCCTGTGTAGTGACCCAGGATTGTAGGTAGATGTCACCTGTGTGTTGACCCAGGATTGTAGGTAAGTGCCGCCTGTATGTTGACCCAGGATTGTAGGTAGATGTCACCTGTGTAGTGACCCAGGATTGTAGGTAGATGTTGCCTGTGTAGTGACCCAGGATTGTAGGTAGGTGTCGCCTATGTGTTGACCCAGGATTGTAGGTAAGTGTCGCCTGTGAAGTGACCCAGGATTGTAGGTAGATGTCGCCTATGTGTTGACCCAGGATTGTAGGTAGATGTCGCCTGTGTAATGACCAAGGATTGTAGGTAGGTGTCGCCTGTGTGTTGACCCAGGATTGTAGGTAGGTGTCCCCTGTGTGTTGACCCTGGATTGAAGGTAGGTGTCGCCTGTGTGTGACCCAGGATTGTAGGTAGGTGTCGCCTGTGTGTGACCCAGGATTGTTGGTTGGTGTCCCCTGTATGTTGACCCAGGATTGTAGGTAGGTGTCGCCTATGTGTTGACCCAGGATTCTAGGTAGATGTCGCCTGTGTGTTGACCCAGGATTGTAGGTAGGTGTCACCTGTGTGTTGACCCAGGATTGTTGGTAGGTGTCACCTGTGTGTTGACCCAGGATTGTAGGTAGGTGTCGCCTGTGTGTGACCCAGGATTGTAGGTAGGTGTCACCTGTGTGGTGACCCAGGATTTTAGGTAGGTGTCGCCTGTATGTTGACCCAGGATTGTAGGTAGGTGTCACCTGTATGTAGACCCAGGATTGTAGGTAGGTGTCGCCTATGTGTTGACCCAGGATTGTTGGTAGGTTTAGCCTGTGTTGACCCAGGATTGTAGGTAGATGTCACCTGTGTGTTGACCCAGGAATGTAGGTAGGTTTAGCCTGTGTTGACCCAGAATTGTAGGTAGGTGTCGCCTGTATGTTGACCCAGGATTGTAGGTAGGTGTCGCCTGTGTGGTGACCCAGGATTGTAGTTAGATGTCGCCTGTGTTGACCCAGGATTGTAGGTAGGTGTCACCTGTATATTGACCCATGATTGTAGGACAGGTGTCACCTGTGTGTTGACCCAGGATTGTAGGTAGGTTTAGCCTGTGTTGACCCAGGATTGTAGGTAGATGTCACCTGTATGTTGACCCAAGGTTGTAGGTAGATGTCACCTGTATATTGACCCAGGATTGTAGGTAGGTGTCACCTGTGTGTTGACCCAGGATTGTAGGTAGGTGTCGCCTGTGTGGTGACCCAGGATTGTAGGTAGGTGTCGCCTGTATGTTGACCCAGGATTGTAGGTAGGTGTCACCTGTATGTAGACCCAGGATTGTAGGTAGGTGTCGCCTATGTGTTGACCCAGGATTGTAGGTAGGTTTAGCCTGTGTTGACCCAGGATTGTAGGTAGATGTCACCTGTGTGTTGACCCAGGATTGTAGGTAGATGTCACCTGTATGTTGACCCAGGATTGTAGGTAGGTGTCGCCTCTGTAGTGACCCAGGATTGTAGGTAGATGTCACCTGTGTGTTGACCCAGGATTGTAGGTAGGTGCCACCTGTATGTTGACCCAGGATTGTAGGTAGATGTCACCTGTGTGTTGACCCAGGATTGTAGGTAGATGTCACCTGTATGTTGACCCAGGATTGTAGGTAGGTGTCGCCTGTGTAGTGACCCAGGATTGTAGGTAGATGTCACCTGTGTGTTGACCCAGGATTGTAGGTAAGTGCCGCCTGTATGTTGACCCAGGATTGTAGGTAGATGTCACCTGTGTGTTGACCCAGGATTGTAGGTAGGTGTCGCCTGTGTAGTGACCCAGGATTGTAGGTAGATGTCGCCTATGTGTTGACCCAGGAATGTAGGTAGGTTTAGCCTGTGTTGACCCAGAATTGTAGGTAGGTGTCACCTGTATGTTGACCCAGGATTGTAGGTAGGTGTCGCCTGTATGTTGACCCAGGATTGTAGGTAGGTGTCACTTGTGTGGTGACCCAGGATTGTAGGTAGGTGTCGCCTGTATGTTGACCCAGGATTGTTGGTAGGTTTAGCCTGTGTTGACCCAGGATTGTAGGTAGGTGTCACCTGTATGTTGACCCAGGATTGTAGGTAGGTGTAGCCTGTATGTTGACCCAGGATTGTAGGTAGGTGTCACCTGTATGTTGACCCAGGATTGTAGTTAGGTGTCGCCTGTATGTTGATCCAGGATTGTAGGTAGGTGTCGCATGTGTTGACCCAGGATTGTAGGTAGGTGTCGCCTCTGTAGTGACCCAGGATTGTAGGTAGATGTCACCTGTGTGTTGACCCAGGATTGTAGGTAGGTGCCACCTGTATGTTGACCCAGGATTGTAGGTAGATGTCACCTGTGTGTTGACCCAGGATTGTAGGTAGATGTCACCTGTATGTTGACCCAGGATTGTAGGTAGGTGTCGCCTGTGTAGTGACCCAGGATTGTAGGTAGATGTCACCTGTGTGTTGACCCAGGATTGTAGGTAAGTGCCGCCTGTATGTTGACCCAGGATTGTAGGTAGATGTCACCTGTGTGTTGACCCAGGATTGTAGGTAGGTGTCGCCTGTGTAGTGACCCAGGATTGTAGGTAGATGTCGCCTATGTGTTGACCCAGGAATGTAGGTAGGTTTAGCCTGTGTTGACCCAGAATTGTAGGTAGGTGTCACCTGTATGTTGACCCAGGATTGTAGGTAGGTGTCGCCTGTATGTTGACCCAGGATTGTAGGTAGGTGTCACTTGTGTGGTGACCCAGGATTGTAGGTAGGTGTCGCCTGTATGTTGACCCAGGATTGTTGGTAGGTTTAGCCTGTGTTGACCCAGGATTGTAGGTAGGTGTCACCTGTATGTTGACCCAGGATTGTAGGTAGGTGTAGCCTGTATGTTGACCCAGGATTGTAGGTAGGTGTCACCTGTATGTTGACCCAGGATTGTAGTTAGGTGTCGCCTGTATGTTGATCCAGGATTGTAGGTAGGTGTCGCATGTGTTGACCCAGGATTGTAGGTAGGTGTCGCCTGTATGTTGACCCAGGATTGTAGGTAGATGTCGCCTGTTTGTTGACCCAGGATTGTAGGTAGGTGTCACCTGTGTGTTGACCCAGGATTGTAGGTAGGTGTCGCCTGTGTTGACCCAGGATTGTAGGTAGGTGTTGCCTGTATGTTGACCCAGGATTTTAGATCCACAGTGATACATAACTGTAATATTGTTGACAAGACATCTAATATCACACTCACTCACTCACTCACTCACTCACTCACTCACTCACTCAGGCCACTGACTGTTATGTTGACCACGACATGTGACAATATTCCCTCACTCACTCATTCCAGACCACCAGTCGTGGAGAAGATCTGTGACCTATTTTCTCTTGTGGCCTCACTGACGGAGAAGACCCCTGAGTTCGAGGTATGTTGGCTACATGTCATCAGGACAACCCACTTTCAACATAAACCAGTGTGAACAAACCTTAATATACCACAAAATGAAATCAAACTCTCTGATGGGCTTACCATTCTTAGATAAACACACGCAAGTCTGATAGCAAGTCTGCCATCTTAATACCAGAACTTCCACGAAAGTATGCTAGATTTTTTAACAATAAGAGGCCGGTGGGGTAGCCTAGTGGTTAAAGCGTTGTTTCCTCACGCTGAATACCTGGGTTCGATTCCCAACATGGGAACATTGTGTGAAGCCCATCTTCTGTCGTACCCAGCCGTGATATTGCTGGAATATTGCTAGAAGCGGGGAAAACCATACTCACTCACGTATCTAACAATATCAATACAACAGGTGCATGTGCATATTTGTGTTGCACAGGATTTGCAAGCTGACAGTGCACCCATCCCGTCTACCGGTTGTTACTCAGAATGTACGATCTTGTTTGTCTTTTTTTCAGAACTTTCAGCTTGAGGTTGTGCGGAACCTGTGGTTATACTGTCACAGTGACAACAGCACCATCCAGGGGGCAGCACTGCGAGCACTGTCAGCGTTCGCCCCGGACCAGTTCCTCGTCAGCTCCTTGCCTGCACATGTAAGCATCTGGCATAGTCATGCTTATAATAATAGGCTATTTATATTGCTCATATTTCCACACCACTCAGGGGTATGCTTAAAGCACTATTATTACCCCATTCACTGGATGTGCACTCAGAATCATTTTCAGCTCCCAGGGAAGCATCCAACCCAACTTCCTGCTAGAAGGTAAACAACCACATTGGCATCTCATCCTACCGGGTACCCATTCACTGCTGGGTTAACACAGGCACACTTGAGTGGTAATCCGTAATTCTGTGTCACCAGTAGATCAGTCTATCTATCACTAATGTTGTTTCCCAATCCCAAGAATAGACATTGTCCCAATCAATCATGATTACCCCCGTGAGGATTCTGGGTTAGAATCGCCCCCCAGCAACCTTTGCTGGTTGTGAGGGTGATTTAATGGATTGGGTGGTCAGGCTCTGTGACTTGGTTGTTGCGTGTCATTGTGCTCCTGCATCCTCCTGGTTCATTGCTCACAGACCCGTGAACATCCAGGTTAGAATAGGTCCTCAGCAACCTGTGCTTGCCCTAAAAGGCAATTATGCTTGTCGTTAGAGGTGATTATGCTTGTAAGAGGCAACTAGCGGGATAGGGTGGTCAGGCTCGCTGACTTGGTTGATGCGTGTCATCGTATCCCAATAGAGTTGATTGATGCTCATGATGTCAGTCACTGGATTGTCTAGTCCAGACTTGATTATGTACAGACTGCTGTCATATAGCTTGAATATTGCTGAGTGCGGTGTTAAACAACAAAGAAACAAACATATAGCTTGAATATTGCTGAGTGCGGTGTTAAACAACAAAGAAACAAACATATAGCTGGAATATTGCTGAGTGCGGTGTTAAACAACAAAGAAACAAACAAATCATTGCTCACAATATCACTCACTGGTTTGGCCGCGTCTTACAGTGCAGCATTAGACAACAAACAGACAAGCAATCATGAACAATGAGTGAGTGAGTGAGTGAGTAATTATAGTCACATCGGCAATATTTCAGCCATATCGTGACTAAAGCAATTTATACGTTAAGAAAACATCAGCTTAGATTATAGTAAAACCTGTCATCAAAGGACAGTATAACTACTAGACTTATCACAGATATAAATTTCTAAAACTAGTACATGGTCATAAAAAGTTATTATAAAACAGAACAAGACATTGTAAAAACGGGCTATAGATCGCCAGCAAGTGAAGGTAGATCACCATACTAGGGACCATGGGGACTTATAGTACCTTTGCTACCTGCATGGACCCCAGCAGGATTTACATCATACCTTCAGCCACTGGCGATTATATGCAAGTTTAGCCGTCAATTAAAACTAACGAATATACTACGATTAAAATCGTGGTTCATGAACAATGACTAACATCTTCAGCTACAGTATTATAATGCACAAATGTGACGTGGTGTTTCTCATTAAGGTTTGTTTCGCAAGGAAGAGCTCAGTGGTGAATTGGCCATGGAGCAATTGTTTTGTTGCTAATGACAAAATAATTTCCCTGATTAAAGTTGTCTATATATTAACCAAAATGAAATTTGTGATCATTAGAACTACTGCCTTGCAAGATCATGATGCCACTTGATTTTCACTGATATATGATGTTGTTCAATACACAAAACAACCTGCCTTGGAAACTGTGGTTACGAGTTAAGCATTCTCACTTTTCACACCAATCAAAGGACATGCTTTCAAATGCCAGCTCAAGAAAAAACCTGTCATTAACTGTTAAAAAATGCTCTCTATCTCCACTCCTGCTGAGTTGATAATGGACTAAAAAAATATTTAGCAGTTGTGTAATTTAAGTTCACGGTATTATTTTTACCCTGAAAGGAGATGGTTGTTCAGAGGATGTTCACCCAGTGATTTCTGTTTAGGGAAACCGTTGTCATGGTTATATATTCTTGTTTCACTGGGGGATAGAGGGAAATAACATGGGTGTTTTGAGTCCATGCTACAACCGAGAGGCTCTTTATTGTGCGTAGTGTACTGGTTGCGAATGATTACTACGTGTCACCCTTTTACTCACTCACTCACCCATGCACTCACTCACTCACTCACTCACTCACTCACTGATACACTCACTCACTCACCAATGCACCCTCCCACTCATTCACCAATGCACCCACTCACTCACTGATACACTCACTCACTCACCAATGCACCCACTCACTCACCCACTGATGCACCTACTCACTCACCCACTGATGCACCCACTCACCAATGCACCCACTCACTCACCAATGCACCCACTCACTCACCAATGCACCCACTCACTCACTCACTAATGCACCCACTCACTCACTGATTCACTCACTCACTCACTCACTGATGCACCCACTCACTCACTCACCAATGCACCCACTCACTCACCAATGCACCCACTCACTCACTCACTCACTCACTGATGCACCCACTCACTCACCAATGCACCCACTCACTCACCAATGCACCCACTCACCCACTCACCAATCCACTCACTCACTGATGCACTCACTCACCAATGCACCCACTCACCCACTCACTCACTAATGCACCCACTCACTCACTCACTGATGCACTCACTCACTCATTCATCAATGCACCCACTCACTCACTCACTCACTCACTCACTCACTCACTCACTCACTCACTGATGCCCACATTCACTCAAGTCTTCTGGGTCACTTTGGTTATGTTATTGTTTAAAAGTAAAATGTTTACATAGGGAGTTTATTAGCAAATTATTCATCACTGATCAGCGCAGGAGTGGCATATTGCATTAGCCTACTTCTTACACATCACCTGTATAGTGAAATTATTTACATTTTACACCAAAATATTAATTTAAAAGTTCAAAAGCTAACTTCTATATGTTTTTTCTCCTTCGTAACATATCATCCGTCACATTATATCTATGTGTGCGGATGCCGAGGAAGATAGTGCACTGTTCCACAGACTGCTTCCCAGTGCTTCCAAGCACTGCCTCACGCTTATCCCAGATTGTGGCTACAACAACGAGACTCTGAGCTCTGTTGAACATAAATCCCAAGATTGATCAGTCCATGTCTCTCCTTATAGGTAACAGAAGACCTCCGTGAGCAAGCGGCCCAAATAGCAGCACAGCAAGACGACCCCGACCTGACCATTGACCAGATCCTCACATTTGTACCCGGCGTCTGCTTCACACGTCTGCTCAAGACTCTCCATGCGCAGGTTCTCGAAGGTATGTCAACATCCAGACATTCCGTTTTAATCACAAGTCTGGAGGGTTTTATGATACTGTCATGTTCAAAGTGTCCTCAATCTCAGCTTGTAAGCATGGCTTTTCTTGATCTCGCTACATGTGGTGGGGAAAGAGGTGACAAACATGGGATTCAGTGATCACAATGACGGATCTACCCCCTGCAGTTTGGCTAGGCTATGACGAGGGCACCGTTCCACAAACGTCTTAGCGCTGCGACTATCGTAAGCCAGTGTTAAAGTATGGGAGTTACAATCACCTTAGCGCTAAGATGGCTTTGTGGAACAGGGCCCTGGTTGATTGTGTACTGTGAATTGAGTGGATTGTTCGTGGTTTGCGTGATCCAGACTTGATCATGTCGTCAGAAAGCCATCATGATATAGCTGTAATATTGGTGAAGTATTCCAGAAGCAGTAGCTTATTGTAGTTCTGGTAAAAGATTGTGATACACTCTTGGCTAAGTCATCTTAGGTGCTGCAGTTAGCTATGCAGAATTGTGTCCCTTTTTCAGTGCCAGAATCCTATGATTAGGTTTGAATTCTTCTCCCTCCAGTAGTTTTTTCTTCATCAGCACCACAGACTTGTGTATATATAGTTGTTTTTGTTTGTTGTTTTTTCAGATTATGAAGTATTTTTATCATCCATGATTGGCAAAGAGGTAGAAAGTCTGCCAAGAGGCATTTACCACTCGTCACTACGGCGACAAGGAGCTGCAGCCAATCAGGGGAAAGCAGTCAGCAGTATCCCAGGGTTCATCTTGTCTCAGTACGAGAAGACCAACCAGCCTGGACTTCGCCCTGGACTAGCATGTTAGTTGGGAGAAATAATATTCCGAGCTAAAATTACGTCTGTAACCACACACTCTTGGGCAATACATTACTTGTCTATAGTGTACATCTACCCAAGGCAGTTTCCACCCTTGCCAAACTCAGCTGGAATTATGGAGTTGTATTTTACCTGGACTAACAAGTCTATGAATTGTCCTATCAGAAACGAAATGGACATCTGATATGTAAGCTGATGTGCAGGATGCAGGATTTGCAAAGCATGTCTACCGTCAACTCAGAGTCTACAGATATTTTCCAAATCTTTGCGTGTTTTTAATCAAAGTGCTCACGTTATTTGGAGCACTTGGCGAAGTAAGACATGTTTTATCACAATATATATTATGGTTATCGGTCAGATCATGTTGAATGGGCACCTCCGTTTGGTTTGAAGCAAAATGTTTTTACTTTCAAAAGGCGTTTACTGACGAAGGTCTTGACAGACAAAAGGTCTTTAGTGACAATAAGTGTTTACTGACAGATGTGATTGATTCTGCCGTGATGACTTCAAAGAAACCATCTCCTATTATTACTCAGTAGTAACTGAAGCAAGAGGCTGCTTCCTGCCCTGCTGGTCCTGTGGCTTGAAGCCATGGAATTATTGAAGCAATGCTCCTCTTCAGTCGTGGACAGTGTCAGCACCATTTGACGTGGAGCCCTGGTTGTGACTGATGGTAGACATCAGGAGGGAGATGTGGTCAATTTTCTTGTCTACTTGCCCCTAAAATTATTTTTTATTCCTCCTTCATTTGTTGAAAATGACAGACCTCGAGGCCTCTACAAATTGTAATGCCCTGAAAAAACTGTATGAACCTCAACTTAGTGATCTGTCATAATCAAATATGGCCATCATTGCCATAGAAGGCATTTACCTCACAGCTCTGATAGTTTGTGTGGGTAATTCCACATATTATGGTTCTGTGGCTTGTATTCCTGACTGGATTTCTGCGGTGACTAGCAAGTGTGTGTGTAACTTTACCACACAAAACATTCATGGCTCTGCAACAGTTAGCAACACTGGCTTGCTGTCCTCGATATTTTCCTCGAGTACATCATAGACATGTTATTTGTTCTGAGAGTTGACAGGAAGTAGAATGTTGGGATATGTATACTTCTGTAATAGGCGCCCTCTAACGTCGATAAAAGGTGCCCTGTGACAGTAGAAACATAGAAATTGATGGCAAAAGTCTGATGTTTTACTGCGGTGCTTTGCGTTGTGTTCTCTTCTCCCTGGGCAGTATTCTTTTGTCTTTATGTCCTATGAGTCTCCTGACCGAGTCATCAACTCTAATTATGGATAAAACACAAATAGTGAAGTTTGATTTAAAGTTTATTTTTAACAATACAACAGGTGGCAAACCTTCATCATCTTATTTACAGACAAACCTACCTACTGTTCCCCCCTTCCCTACCTACGTACAACTGTTAAACACCAACTCTTTAACTTTATATATAACAACTACCAATCTAACTCCCTAAATAAAATGTCCTAAAATAAACCTATTTCATACCTATGGTAATTCACCCCACCCAAATCTAACATTAACATAACAACATTATCCCAAACAAGAAAACTAATAACAGTGAAAAGTGAAAATGTCTTGATTCAAGATGCGAGAGCCAACTACATACTTTACCAGGTGCTGGTGAAAGAACGACTGAAGATTCCCTACCATGAGGGGCATACAATAAAACACTGCAGGGAGAATAAACCATGAGGGGCATACAATAAAACACTGCAGGGAGAATAAACCATGAGGGGCATACAATAAAACACTGCAGGGAGAATAAACCATGAGGGGCATACAGTAAAACAATGCAGGGAGAATAAACCATGAGGGGCATACAATAAAACACTGCAGGGAGAATAAACCATGAGGGGCATACAATAAAACACTGCAGGGAGAATAAACCATGAGGGGTGTACAATAAAACACTGCAGGGAGAATAAACCATGAGGGGCATACAATAAAACAATGCAGGGAGAATAAACCATGAGGGGCATACAATAAAACACTGCAGGGAGAATAAACCATGAGGGGTGTACAATAAAACACTGCAGGGAGAATAAACCATGAGGGGTGTACAATAAAACACTGCAGGGATAATAAACCATGAGGGGCATACAATAAAACACTGCAGGGAGAATAAACAATGAGGGGCATACAATAAAACACTGCAGGGAGAATAAACCATGAGGGGCATACAATAAAACACTGCAGGGAGAATAAACCATGAGGGGCATACAATAAAACACTGCAGGGAGAATAAACCATGAGGGGCATACAATAAAACACTGCAGGGAGAATAAACCATGAGGGGTGTACAATAAAACACTACATTGATAATACACCATGAGGGGCATACAATAAAACACTGCAGGGATAATAAACCATGAGGGTCATACAATAAAACAATGCAGGGAGAATAAACCATGAGGGGCATACAATAAAACACTGAAGGGATAATAAACAATGAGGGGCATACAATAAAACACTGCAGGGAGAATAAACCATGAGGGGCATACAATAAAACACTGCAGGGAGAATAAACCATGAGGAGCATACAATAAAACACTGAAGGGATAATAAACAATGAGGGGCATACAATTAAACACTGCAGGGATAATAAACCATGAGGGGTGTACAATAAAACACTGCAGGGATAATAAACCATGAGGGGCATACAATAAAACACTGCAGGGAGAATAAACCATGAGGGGTGTACAATAAAACACTGCAGGGAGAATAAACCATGAGGGGTGTACAATAAAACACTGCAGGGAGAATAAACCATGAGGGGTGTACAATAAAACACTGCAGGGAGAATAAACCATGAGGGGCTGTGCCCCGAATGGTTTATTCTCCCTACAGTGTTTTATTGTACGATAAACAATGACATTGAGTTGTTAATTTCTTCTATGAGATATCAACATCATATACAGATTCTTACAGGATGATGATAAAATGTTCAAGCCTCAAACATATTTACCTATATTTTAATGTTTATGACTCCCTCAAAGAATCTGACCTTGGCAATGTCGGACATGTCCATTTTATGCACAGGTGGGTATTTCCCACATATTCTCATAATCCTCACTTTAATTACCTGCAACTTTTCTCTCAATAACGATTGTCATATCTCTCCCACTTTTGGATGCAATCGTTTGGTCATAATGTTTATCTGAGTTGGCCAGCTACATCTATGGGAAACAACTCACAAGACACCTCTCTCTCAGAAATAACGTCGTACAATATACAACGTCATCAAGTTGCGAGCGCATGTTCAAATCTCCAGAAAAGACATCATGACAGAACAATGTTTAACATGAAATAAACCACGCTTTGTTCTTCATTGTTTTTGGGGGCCGGTCGGGTAGACTTGTGGTTAAAGCGTTCGCTCGTCATGCCGAGGACCCGGGTTCGATTCCCAACATAGGTACAATGTGTGAAGCCCATTTATGGCGTCCCCCGCTGTAATATTGCTGGAATATTGCTAAAAGCGGGGTAAAACAAAACTCACTCACTCACTCATTGTTTTTTGCAATTTATTGTGTAGCTATCTTACGTATAAGGCTAAAAGAAATACTAGTCTTGGTTCTCAGGCACCACCCACATCATCATAAAGTCTGCCGCACGTTTCATTTTTTATTTCCATTCTCAAAGAATAAATGAAAAAATCCTAATGCTAAAAAAATGTGATCCAATATAGCACACAGTTACTTCCCTTTACATGGGCACTGCTTTAGGCACATCTCGTGTTATTGTCATGGCGGCCATGGGTGTTTGTATGCTTGTTTATGAAGGGAGGCCCTTTCCCAGGTTGATGGTACACAACTGTTTATTTGGTTACATACTAGTTTGAACAAGCAAAAAAAACAAACACTGCCTGCCCGCACTATATTTTCAAAAGCCATTGCCTGCGAACCAATTCTTTTATGTTTTTAAGTCTAAGTATTGTATGTCAATAGCAGCACTCTGCAGTGGTAAGCGCAGGTGTCCCACTAGACTCATCCCTGTGTCTGATGCCCTCAGGTGAACATTGTTTTTTTCCTGTCAGCTGGGTTGCTGTTTTGCTATGATCCTCCAGTGGAAGTTGGCCGCGATGGCAGACCAAGACGTCATTACATCGTCTCTCACGGCAAAAACTATCAGCAGATGTTCAACACCCTCCTCTCTGAGGTAAAATCCATATATATGTGGCATGGTCTCAACGTCAAATAGACTCGGGTCTGTCTTATGGTGTCAATTATCCATCTGTTTGAATTTTTTCATTTTCTACCTGGGATATTATTATGACATTCACTGGATCATTGAAAGTCAAGGGTGGGTAATTTAAGATCATGAGAACAACATGAATGGATCAAGGGATTCGTGTAGATTTACCACAATTAAAGCCCTGGAGATATAGAGGATATACAGACTGCCATCATATTCCTGGGGTATTGCTGACTAGGGAGTTCAACAAGAAACAAGCAAACAAACTATTTTAGTTATTTATAGGCTGCTGCGATGTAATATTTGTACTGCAACATCACAAAATTCATTCACTTCTTGATTACTTCTTAAACTAAATATGTTACTTTTTGTAATTTACTAACTTAGAGGCAAACCAGCCTAATTGCTTTGCCGATTTTCTTCCTCTAAGGCTTAAGGTAAATGGCAGTGACAGGCAAATCTGTAAGACTAGTAATGGAATTGTTCTGACCAAAGATGAAACTGTATTCTGTATAAGAGAGAGAATTTTCTGGTGTCAACTTTATCATGAGGAACAAAACTGTTATGTGGGTTATCTCCCAAAACCCCTACATCCCATTTCCCCTACAACCCAGTTCCCCTACAATTAGTTAAAACAACACGCGGCATTTACCTGTCTGGCATTATGAACTCACCTAAAGGAGAGATTAAGGTCTGGAGTAGAGGTAGTAGAAATGAAAGGGGTAGAGCTTTAGGGGATTAGGGGACTTAAAGGAAAGTTAAAAAAAAAAAATTAATGTAAGTGTAATGAAAGATGCCTGTATGATGAGAAGACAATTTTTAGAAATTACAAAAATAACAATAGGAAGAAACAATTATTACACTGAGAAACTGAGATGAGACGATTTACAGTTGAGATTAAAAATGAACATTTTATTATAATGTATAATGAATTTTGAAAAATGAACATTTTATTATAATGTATTATGAATTTTGAAAAATGAACATTTTATTATAATGTATTATGAATTTTGAATAATATCGTAATCGTAATTAAATATTTATCTCAATCTATTCGAGTTTCTTGGGTTGTTCCATTGTATGAAATAGGTAACAGACTAGGGATTAGCAGTGCCATGGACCGTGAACTTTGTTGTCTTAAGCTGTAGGGGAAATGGGATGTAGGGGTTTTGGGAGGTTACCGTTATGTGTATCCTATCTTGATGGCAATGAAAGACGTGTCTTCTGCATGTTCTGCCTCACTACAGAGCATGTATGTATGTGTCCTGCCTCACTACGGAGCATGTATGTATGTGTTCTGCCTCACTACGGAGCATGTATGTATGTGTTCTGCCTCACAACTAAGCATGTATGTATGTGTTCTGCCTCACTACAGACCATGTATGTTTGTGTTCTGCCTCACTACGGAGTATGTATGTATGTGTCCTGCCTCACTACGGAGCATGTATGTATGTGTTCTGCCTCACTACGGAGCATGTATGTATGTGTTCTGCCTCACTACAGACCATGTATGTATGTGTCCTGCCTCACTACAGACCATGTATGTATGTGTTCTGCCTCACTACAGAGCATGTATGTATGTGTTCTGCCTCACTACAGACCATGTATGTATGTGTCCTGCCTCACTACAGACCATGTATGTATGTGTTCTGCCTCACTACAGAGCATGTATGTATGTGTTCTGCCTCACTACGGAGCATGTATGTTTGTGTCCTGCCTCACTACGGAGCATGTATGTATGTGTTCTGCTTCACTACGGAGCATGTATGTATGTGTTCTGCCTCACTACGGAGCATGTATGTATGTGTTCTGCCTCACTACGGAGCATGTATGTATGTGTTCTGCCTCACTACAGACCATGTATGTATGTGTCCTGCCTCACTACAGACCATGTATGTATGTGTTCTGCCTCACTACAGAGCATGTATGTATGTGTTCTGCCTCACTACAGACCATGTATGTATGTGTCCTGCCTCACTACAGACCATGTATGTATGTGTTCTGCCTCACTACAGAGCATGTATGTATGTGTTCTGCCTCACTACGGAGCATGTATGTTTGTGTCCTGCCTCACTACGGAGCATGTATGTATGTGTTCTGCTTCACTACGGAGCATGTATGTATGTGTTCTGCCTCACTACGGAGCATGTATGTATGTGTTCTGCCTCACTACGGAGCATGTATGTATGTGTCCTGCCTCACTACAGAGCATGTATGTATGTGTTCTGCCTCACTACAGACCATGTATGTATGTGTTCTGCCTCACTACGGAGCATGTATGTATGTGTTCTGCCTCACTACGGAGCATGTATGTATGTGTCCTGCCTCACTACGGAGCATGTATGTATGTGTTCTGCCTCACTACGGAGCATGTATGTATGTGTCCTGCCTCACTACGGAGCATGTATGTATGTGTTCTGCCTCACTACGGAGCATGTATGTATGTGTCCTGCCTCACTACGGAGCATGTATGTATGTGTTCTGCCTCACTACGGAGCATGTATGTATGTGTCCTGCCTCACTACGGAGCATGTATGTATGTGTTCTGCCTCACTACGGAGCATGTATGTATGTGTTCTGCCTCACTACGGAGCATGTATGTATGTGTTCTGCCTCACTACGGAGCATGTATGTATGTGTTCTGCCTCACTACGGAGCATGTATGTATGTGTTCTGCCTCACTACGGAGCATGTATGTATGTGTCCTGCCTCACTACGGAGCATGTATGTATGTGTCCTGCCTCACTACGGAGCATGTATGTATGTGTTCTGCCTCACTACGGAGCATGTATGTATGTGTTCTGCCTCACTACGGAGCATGTATGTATGTGTTCTGCCTCACTACGGAGCATGTATGTATGTGTCCTGCCTCACTACGGAGCATGTATGTATGTGTCCTGCCTCACTACAGAGCATGTATGTATGTGTTCTGCCTCACTACGGAGCATGTATGTATGTGTCCTGCCTCACTACGGAGCATGTATGTATGTGTCCTGCCTCACTACAGAGCATGTATGTATGTGTTCTGCCTCACTACAGACCATGTATGTATGTGTTCTGCCTCACTACGGAGCATGTATGTATGTGTTCTGCCTCACTACGGAGTATGTATGTATGTGTTCTGCCTCACTACGGAGCATGTATGTATGTGTCCTGCCTCACTACGGAGCATGTATGTATGTGTCCTGCCTCACTACGGAGCATGTATGTATGTGTTCTGCCTCACTACGGAGCATGTATGTATGTGTTCTGCCTCACTACGGAGTATGTATGTATGTGTTCTGCCTCACTACAGAGCATGTATGTATGTGTCCTGCCTCACTACGGAGCATGTATGTATGTGTCCTGCCTCACTACGGAGCATGTATGTATGTGTTCTGCCTCACTACGGAGCATGTATGTATGTGTCCTGCCTCACTACGGAGCATGTATGTATGTGTCCTGCCTCACTACAGAGCATGTATGTATGTGTTCTGCCTCACTACGGAGCATGTATGTATGTGTCCTGCCTCACTACGGAGCATGTATGTATGTGTTCTGCCTCACTACAGAGCATGTATGTATGTGTCCTGCCTCACTACGGAGCATGTATGTATGTGTCCTGCCTCACTACGGAGCATGTATGTATGTGTTCTGCCTCACTACGGAGCATGTATGTTTGTGTTCTGCCTCACTACGGAGCATGTATGTATGTGTTCTGCCTCACTACAGACCATGTATGTATGTGTTCTGCCTCACTACGGAGCATGTATGTATGTGTCCTGCCTCACTACAAACCATGTATGTATGTGTCCTGCCTCACTACGGAGCATGTATGTATGTGTTCTGCCTCACTACGGAGCATGTATGTATGTGTTCTGCCTCACTACGGAGTATGTATGTATGTGTTCTGCCTCACTACGGAGTATGTATGTATGTGTCCTGCCTCACTACGGAGCATGTATGTATGTGTTCTGCCTCACTACGGAGCATGTATGTATGTGTCCTGCCTCACTACGGAGCATGTATGTATGTGTTCTGCCTCACTACGGAGCATGTATGTATGTGTTCTGCCTCACTACGGAGCATGTATGTATGTGTTCTGCCTCACTACAGACCATGTATGTATGTGTTCTGCCTCACTACGGAGCATGTATGTATGTGTTCTGCCTCACTACGGAGCATGTATGTATGTGTTCTGCCTCACTACAGACCATGTATGTATGTGTTCTGCCTCACTACGGAGCATGTATGTATGTGTTCTGCCTCACTACGGAGCATGTATGTATGTGTTCTGCCTCACTACAGAGCATGTATGTATGTGTTCTGCCTCACTACGGAGCATGTATGTATGTGTCCTGCCTCACTACAGAGCATGTATGTATGTGTTCTGCCTCACTACAGAGCATGTATGTATGTGTTCTGCCTCACTACGGAGCATGTATGTATGTGTTCTGCCTCACTACAGACCATGTATGTATGTGTTCTGCCTCACTACAGAGCATGTATGTATGTGTTCTGCCTCACTACAGAGCATGTATGTATGTTTGTGTTCTGCCTCACTACGGAGCATGTATGTATGTGTTCTGCCTCACTACGGAGCATGTATGTATGTGTTCTGCCTCACTACGGAGCATGTATGTATGTGTTCTGCCTCACTACGGAGCATGTATGTATGTGTTCTGCCTCACTACGGAGCATGTATGTATGTGTTCTGCCTCACTACGGAGCATGTATGTATGTGTTCTGCCTCACTACAGACCATGTATGTATGTGTTCTGCCTCACTACGGAGCATGTATGTATGTGTTCTGCCTCACTACGGAGCATGTATGTATGTGTTCTGCCTCACTACAGACCATGTATGTTTGTGTTCTGCCTCACTACGGAGCATGTATGTATGTGTCCTGCCTCACTACGGAGCATGTATGTATGTGTTCTGCCTCACTACGGAGCATGTATGTATGTGTTCTGCCTCACTACGGA